GACAACAATGGATTAAAGTATGGTCACTTTGGAAGAGGTTCTGATTGTAGTCGACGAAAAGGGGAGAAATGTCGTTCGTGAAAATTAGGTTTAAAATAATGTTGATCCCTCGTTGGGGAACAGACCAACTGAGACCAGTTTGAAAAATTGATGGCATCTAGGAGGGGCTGAAATTTGGGTGGACAACAGTTTAGTGACCATTAAATTTCGGGAAAGTTGAAATCCCCAGCGATAACTTTAGCATCAAAGGCGGACTCCGAAATCAGCCTAAATATTTCGCAAAGCTTTTCATCACCTTCGGATGATGAGTTAGGATCACTATAAATGCATCCGATACGCCTTTTGACGGGGAGACAGGATAATGGATGCAAAGTAGTAATTGCCCGAGAATGACTCAACAAGATAATGGATGCAAAGCAGTAATTGCCCTGAGAATGACGCAGCCTCTAGGTCGAACGGGAAATGCTTAAAAATAGCTTTAATATAGAGAAGACAACTGCCACCACGCTTACTAGTGCGGTCTTGACGGTAGAAATCATACTCGTCTATTATGAGCAATTAGCGGATGGGCCCACGACTCTGTAATGCATATAACATCTGGCTTCAGCGCGAAAGCAATGGCTCTAAGTTGAGCCATCTTATTCATAACAGATCTTGCAAGATGATATCTAGTGTAGCCTGAGTAATCGAACTAGCGTTCTCTTTATTTAGTAATAAAAATTTGGAGGTGGGTAATTGAATTGGAATCAGGCAATGGCCTTGAAAACCTTATTGATTACATTCCGGTGCGTCATATACATAAGTACACGCACACGTAAAACATTGCCACTATTAAAATGGGTTTTGATGGCATCGAAGATGAGTTTTACAAAGTAACCTTATTGGCCAGCAGTGAGTAGCATTGCTTTTTACAAATTAGTCTTGTAGTTATAATTCAGAGTTCGAGGGACAACAGGGGACGCATGAAATTATTCAAACCTTTATTAGAAGGTTTGGCAGATTTGCTCAATTTGAGTTGACCCGATTGTGAAAAAACTCGAGGCGTTCGGCGGGATTTGAACCCGCGTGTCACAGAAAGCCTTTACCGAAAGCCAACGCTCTAACCGTTGAGCTACAAACGCCCCGCCTCGCGTCATGAATTTAATCATGGTAAAGGACTTTTCTGATACTGGGGTTCAAATTTCGCCAAACGCCTCAAGTTTTTTCACAACCGGGTCAACTCAAATATTCAAACCTTGTCTGTGCATTTTTTGGGGAATTCGCCTACACGACTGACTGCGGGAGGTTATTTTACTGTTTTATGGCCCGTTGCGTGAAGAATTAAGTGCGGACATTTAGCTTGGACATCTTCATGCGTAGCTTTATGTGTGCCTGCGGAGATGAGGCGAAAGGTGCTACTGAATAATGATAATAATAAGGTTTATTTGTAAAGCACATCTTCGGCGCCGTCAAAAACCCCGGAAGGCGCAATCCTTTCTCAAGGCCGTGTATTATCTATTAAGCTAAGAGTAACTCCCCTCTTTGTTGATTGTCATACAGAGGGACTACATTTAGGCATGCCAGTCTCTCTATGTAAGAGTGGTTTTTAAGACTCTAACTAGCTTTTTTGCCCCACGCTGCACTTTCCCGAGACATGTATCTTTTGCAAGCCATGGCCGCCACTCCTGTATGCCATAATCTAGGCGTAGCCGAACGAAGGTAACGTACATTTTGCAAAATAAATCTTTGTCGAAAGCTCGAAACGCACTTTTGATAGCCTGCAGCACTCATGTTGCTTTGTTTGCAGCCTTGGCACATTGTAACGATGGCTTCAGATTGCTCTGTATTCAAATGCCGAGGTCTCTCTGTGAAGATTCTAGGAGAATTTGAGTGTTGTTCAGGTAATATCTTCTTATGCTGCGAGGTGTGGGGTAGATTGTTGGACGCAGGTGGAGGACGGCACACTTTTGCACATTGCAATCTATGAGTCATCTCTCGGACCACATCTGCAGTTTGCAAATATTATTTTGCAGAGCTTCTCGGTCGCTCGGGCGCTTAATGACCTGCCAGAGCTTAAAGTCATCGACAAACATGATTTTACCACAGTCCAGTTCTTGAATGCCGTGGTAAACATAGAGGACGAAGAGTAAAGGACCGAAAACGGAGCCTCGAGGAGCACCACTAACCATGTCCACCCAGTCCTATTTATTGTCCCCGATGCAGATGCGTTATTTTTTATTGACCAAAAATGTCCTGATACAGTCCAGAATTGTCCCCTTGATGCCAAGGACGCTCAGTTTATGACAGAGGCGCACGCTGTCAGAGGCTTTTCAAAATTCGATGTACACCACATCCACTTCGAAGCCCTCACCTAAAGCACTTGTCCAGACCCCAAGTGAAGTCAGCAAATTTGAAAGGCAGGAGCGCCCTCGCCAAAAATCATGCTGGAAATTTGGTATGATGTCATTTTCATCACAAAATCTAAGTATGGCCTGTTTGGCAAGGTCCTCCATCATTTTGCAGGAAAGGCATGTCAAGCTTATGAACCTCAAACTGTTTGCAGTCATCTTGCTACCTCACTTATATAAAGGTACGATATTAGCCGTATTCCACTGCAAGGGCAAGTCCCCTGTTCGTATGGAAATCTCTAGCAGAGATGAAAGGGGCACCGATAGCTCGGTCGAGAGATCCTTGGGTATCAGTCTAGAGATCGTATTCGGTCCTAGAAACTTGTCTGGTTTTATGTGACTGAGGACGTTTCTTACGTCTGCGACAGAAAAGGTGACAGTTTCAATGAGGGCTGTACCTTCGCCCACTACTACTCCCGGATTGGCGTCGGGGGATTCCATCGTAAACGCCGATCTGAAAAAGCCGGCCAGTAACTCTACTGTCCGTGGTCCTTCCGATTATACGTTCCCGAGGTTCTTCCTTAGAGTTGCACCGTCGTCTCAATGCTTTCTTC